AAACATCAACTAACAAAAGAATACATTATATTAAACTCAATAGTATATAGGTACATATATTTTTGACCAGGTTTTCTATAGCATTCATAAATCCTTCTGTTTCTCAAAGAACCATCTACAATACAAATCAGTTTGACACAGTTCAGTCAACATGATACCTGTCACAATTGTTAGGATAACTACTGTGAATTATATTCTAGATACATAACTACTTCATGGTGTCTCTCTCTTTTTTGTACTATATTCAATCACAGTCAGCATTATGTAAATTTAATTGTGTATTGTTTTTATCTGCAATAGTTACAGCCTTTGTAATTGTGATAATTCATACTTTTTGTACAAAAATTCTGTTTTTGTTGATTTGTAATAAAGATTTACTGTATTCTTTCTATGGAGAACTTATGCTGATCATAGTCATCTTTTATTTGTTTATTTTATTTTATTATATTTTTTGTTGGAATTTGTTCTAGTTTTGTGTTTAATGTATAGTTTAAATGAATATGTCAGTACTGGAATGATGTATGTGTTGATTACTTTAAATGTTCATTATATATACAATCAAACCTCACTATGATATTTTGGGGACCAAAATATAATGACCAAAATATCTCTGGTATAACTAAACTATTTTCAACCTCACTATGATATTTTGGGGACCAAAATATCATAGTGAGGTTGAAAATAGTATTGTTATACCAGAGATATTGTTGTAATGCGGTCTTGAAATTTAAGAACGAAGATGATTAAGAAAGTAAAGATTAGTTTAAATACATTGTATGTCCACAGTAAACCAATGGAATGTTGCAATGTTGACAACATCATAATTAGGTATCTTTAGATATTTTTGAGAAGGATTTAAGTTTTCACTTGCAACACTGCACTCTATTTCTTTCTGTTTCTTTAAAAATGTTGCTAGGATTGACTGAGCAAAGCAAAGATATTAAGTGGAATGAAGCAGAAGTTGACTACAACTGTTTATTTCATTCTAGTATCAGTATTTTTGAAAGATCCAAATTTATCTGCTGTGCTTTTGCTACTTTTTTCTACCATATGTTAGTATCACCACCACCTCCTCCTCCTCTGTTACTAGCTGGAGCTCTTTTCTGGTGGGAAAAGGAAACAATGTGTTTTCTTTTTCCACCAGGAATCCTACTATGAGGAAAAGAGAAAACAATATGTTTTTCTACTTTGAAAACACAATGTGTTTTCTTCCATAGTAGAAAACATAGTAGAAAACACAATGTGTTTTCTTTTCCTCATAGTAGGATTGGCTGAGCAGTATCAATGCCACCAATTAGCTAGTTGTGGGCAAACCATTCTGGAAAGAGTGAAAGTCAGTAGGCAACACAATTAGCAAGTAGGCACTCCTGGTTCTTTGCTGCGTGGTACCTACATCGGTTAGCCGCAGGTTGCACTAACACATCCTGAGTGTCATATCATTGTAACAGGTGATAAATTACAGTACAGTAGAGCATCGATTATCCAACTCAGTTGGGGACTGGGGTTGGTCGGATAACTGAAAAAACAGATAACTGAAAAGTATGAAAAAATACATTATTAGTATAGTATATTAGTATATCCCATGTAATTAGTATACTATTATATTACTATTAACCTACTTCACATTGAATTTTCATTGATGTTAAGCCTAACAAAAGTTTTTTTAAATAATAATCGTCGCTATTATATTGCTAAAAGTTATTGTTAAATTATTTTATTGCTCACAAAACAACCACCCACTCATAATTAGAAAATTAAGCCTTGTTTAAATACTGACCACATTTTCATGGTTGAGCCAGTGTTGCCAGCTAAAACATGCAAAAATTTAACAAAAGTAATATTAAAGTAGCCAAGACATAGCCAAATATTGTAGCGCCACATCACTAGCGGACATTTGAATTTGTCAACTCGAATGCGGTTGGATAATTGATGCTCTACTGTATTTGTATAGGACTTTGGCTGGGACTGTGGAAATTCTATCATTGTAAAAGTACTGGGATTTATTGCTGTAATGGGTATCTTTTTAGAGGTTTGACTGTATAAAGGTGAAGCATACATAATTTATTGTTGATCATTTTGGGAAAAATTGCAATGGCAGATGAATACATCTGTCTCATGCAACAGAGTTTTCATATTTTCTTAAGATACTTTTGGTGAATTTAGACAGAAAAAGCTATTGGACAAGTTTATAATTGTAAGTTAAAATTGGCAGATAACTTGCATTGTTGCATAATCTGTACCTTACTTGTTTTTAACTTGACATTGGAACACAGATAAGTTCAGAAAATTATAATAAAGTTGAGTTATCCAGACAAAATTATTATGTTAATAATATATATATAGGCATGCAATGCCATAATGTTGTAAATGCCATTTTTCTCTAAATAAATTTTATTGAAGAATTGAATTCTAAATGAAATATTTTCTCCTGTGAAAAATATTGTGGTGATATTGGCACTGTAAGTGCCTGTATTTTGAAACTGAATTTATGTGAAACCATAATGTTAGTATCAAAATGCAAGTCATGACTTTTGGCTCTTAAAATGTTACAGCTTATATTTACATCATTTTGATATTCTAGAGAATTTGTAACCTAGTGAGTTTTTACCATTTTATTGTAAAATTGAAATGTATTCATTCACTAGAAAGCATTTTTTACCTCCTGAAAAGTTTGTTTTTGGCATTTACTATGGCATTTTATGCTTATATATATAAACACACACACACACACACACACCATATAAGTTTTATGTATATATATAAAGTTAGGAATTCAATATTAACTTTATTTTTCATCACTATTCTCTGCAACTTCATAACTATAACTTTAATCATGAAAAATGTGTTTCAATTACAGTAAGATCCCGCAGTACAGTAAGGGGGGGATACATTCCTAGACGACAAAGCATTAAATGAAACAGTGTTAAACAAGATCATTTTAACAGGAGTAAAGAGGGAAAGTGGAACACTCAACCAAAAGTAAACAGATTTTACTTTAATTTTAAGTTATTTTTATATTAATTTGCATAATAATATATGTTAAATAACACACAAACATATGCACACAGAAATGTAAAGTTCGTGTTTTGTGATGAAGATCCTGGCTCTTCTGAAATTCTTGATTTTTATTTTTTTTTTTTNTTAGATGTAGTCAGCAGCAGTGGGGTATTTTTTCTACACAGAAATGTAAAGTTCGTGTTTTGTGATGAAGATCCTGGCTCTTCTGAAATTCTTGATTTTTATTTTTTTTTTTGCAATGAAATCGTCTAGTATTATTTGTTGCTTTTTTTTTCTTTTCTTTAAGCAAATGTCGGTAGGAGATTGCATACAAAATGCTTCATCTTGCTTTTGCATTCCTTTTAAAATCTGGATCATTCACTACAATTTGATCAACGATTTTGGTTATCATTACCAAACTTTTACTAAGGAAATCTGTAGAGAAATTTTTTTGGGTTCTTCGTTTTCAGAATTACTATTTTCCAGTTCTACATGAATTCCTTGTTCTGCCAGTTCTTGAAGATTGTTGGTAAGGCTCTCACCAGAAACCTACAGTAACTCCTCAATATCCTGCTTGACTACATCTCCTAGTTTTGCTGTATCGACTATGTTGACAATTTGATCAACAATAGGCTCTTCTCATTGAGAATTCTTGGATAACTTTAGCCATAACTTCTTTCACACTTCATTCATGCATTTATCAGTTAATTCTTGGCCAAGTGAAGTCAATATTGCCTATGGCATCCACAATGATGTATTTTTTCCAAAATTGCACCAAACAAACATCAATTTAAAGAAAGTACAGCACTACAACAATTGCCACCTTTTGCTGATTGGTTTGTGTTTGGGAATAATTGTATTATGTATGAATCAATAAAATTTCATGCTAATTTGAATCAGCGTAAATTTTGAGCGTTTTTTTTAGGCTTCGAGCAGACCACTTTATATCGAATCAGTGTTAATCGAGGCAGCATTAAATGGGGTCTTACTATACATAGCTTCATTAAAGTAAAAAAGAAAAAAGAAAAATTTGATTTTATATAGAGTATAAAAATTGTCGAAATCATGTGGGTTGGTTAAATTGATTAGTAGGTAATATAATAGAAGAGATAATTAACGAAATAAAACGAAATTAGACACGGTTGAACGAAAGTAATTTATAAGGCTCATAAAATAGACAGCCAANAAGTTATGAAGTTGCAGAGAATAGTGATGAAAATTAAGGTTAAGAATATTGAATTTTTAAGAATTTGTGTTCAATATTGAATTATCTTATATGAAATATAAAAACAGAGATTTTCTTCTTAAAAAATTCCAATAAGAATTGCATATAAACATTACAGCACATGTGCCAAACATATTATAATCAATTTTTCAATAAAAAAAATTATTTTTTTATTTAAAGGGGCATGCACAATAGTAAAAGTTTGCATTGTGCATTGAATGTAGAATTTGACACAAATATTTTCCCTGCAAATTTGAATTTATTTCCACATAAATTTTTGCATTATGTGCTTTGTGGCAGCATTCAAATCATATATGGTAATTTGTTCATGTTTGTACTTCTAATCGACAGATATTAAAAGACTGCTATACATTTCTTCTTTTTTTTTGTTGTTGTGGTCAATTTTTTAGTTTTGTAAATTATGGTGATTAAGATAATCTGTTACTTTTGATACAAGAGTAAGAAAAACATGGGCATCTCACAATAGCATAACACCAATTCCAGTCACTATCATGAAAACTAAGCGTCTGTATGCCAAAATCTCTCATGTCCACACTCAAATATGGGTGTGGCACAAGTAAATTTTTCTGATGTCTTTCCAAAAACCAACAGTGAATGGATATCTTGAATGTGGCAAAAATTCTTGTGTGCATTTCTGTGTGGCACGCATGTTCACACTTGCAAATATTTGTTTGCATGCACAAAACTTTTTGCCAGATACAATGCAAATTTTTACTAATGTGGATGCACCTTACTAAGTATATTGTTTTATTGATAGATGGATTTCGGAAAGTAACCAATGTAACAAGGCCTAGTTTGAAGAAAGAAAGTGATGAAATAGAATTTTACCATCCATGTTTTACAAAACAAAGAAAAGAACTACTTTCATATATAAAAAGGAAAACATCCGTAAGTTTTATATATATTTTACACCTATGTTTGTAAGTATGTATTAGAGCATGTTTTTTTTCTTTGTTTTTATAGTCTTCGAGTATGAAATCGGGAGAGACAATCAGTAATAGTTCTGGCACTATTCAAGATATACTTGATGATGTGAAAGTACTTCAAGTTAGACAAGAAAGTGTCAATTCCTTACTCTCGGCCATGACACAAGAAAATGAAGCATTATGGAGAGAAATTGCCTTTCTTAGACAGAAGCATGCAAAACAACAACAAATAGTTGCTAAAGTATATATATTATTGAGTATATTATATATTTTCTACAATATACTTATTGTTTACACTGCTGGTCATAAAAAATGTAGCACCGAACATAGGAAATGTTCAAATTGTACATCACAGTTTTTGTTTACAGAAATAATCAAGTATGCCCACATTGAAGAGCAGAAAACTGTATGATAAAGTTTCAGGCTTTGATTAGGGGAGAACTAAGATTATGGAAAGATTTTGGATTATCCTTTTGCGAGATCAGTGCTTGCATTTGATGGAATGTGGCCGGGGTGGGGAGAAAATGGTGTCGGTGAGTAGAGAAGGAACAAACTTGGATTTGAAGGATCTTAATGCTTCTGTCGCTAATGAATAGCAGGATGGACATGTGCATGTGGCTCTAAGTGATCATATAGATATCTCAAACATCTTAGCTCGACAGTTTAGTTTTGCACATCAACCAGTGTTAGATGTAGTCAGCAGCAGTGGGGTATTTTTTCTAGGTGCTCATTGCTTTGGTTGCCATTGACTAAAACACAGGCATTTAAAATTGCAGTGGTATCAGGAACATCATGTTTAGATGGACAAATGGGGTTACATCATTTATTTTAGAAGAATTCCACTTCAGTATGAAACACCATGATGGGTGAATGTTTCTGATGGTACTAAGATGATAGGCTCAATGAGGCATACATAATGCTTTTCCATGCCAGTCCAGCATCTAATATTATGGTACTTTCATTGAAATTCACTCTCACTTACGTCTTTTTTGTACTCATTAGATGTACTTTGATCAGCTAGCATTATATAAACAAAGTATTGTAGCCTGTGGTGGTACTTTACTTTGAGAGCCTCTCTTCTGCCATTTACCAATATGACAATGAGCAACCATGTATGATACACAACGTTCAATGGTTCCTGGATAGCCACCATGTTTCACTTCTTCCTTGGCCAGTGCATTCACTGGATTTGTTCTTCATATACCACATCTAGTAAACGAACTCTCAACAGCTAGCATGCCAGACACCACTGGCTGCTACTTCAGAACAGCTTTGACTACAAATCAAATATGTAAGGACCAACATTCCTTAAGCACGCATTTGGCATCTCATCCTGTCATTGCCAGAATGAGCAGCAGTAGTTATTGCTGTCCACTGTGGCTACATAAGATTCTGAATACAGTAGAGCATCAATTATCCGACTCAATTGGGGACTGGGGTTGGTCGGATAACTGAAAAAAACAGATAACCGAAAAGTATGAAAAAATACATTATTAGTATGGTATATTATTATATCTTGTAATTAGTATATTAGTATATTGCTATTAACATACTTTGCATTGAATTCTCATCGATATTAAGCCTAACAAATTTAAAAAAAAATAATAATCGTCGCTATTGTGTCGTTAAAAATTATTTTTAAATTATTTTATTGCTTACACAATGAACAACCACTCATAATTAGAAAATTAAGCCTTGTTTAAATACTGACCACTTTTTCATGGTTGAGCCAGTGTTGCCAGCTAAAACACCAAAAATTTAATGAAAATAATATTAAAGGAGCCAAGACATAGCCAAATATTATAGCACCACATCACCAGTGGACATTTGAATTTGCCAACTAGAACGCGGTCGGTTAACCGATGTGATGGTTGATCGGAGGTCGATAATCGATGCACTACTGTAATTCATACTCCAGAAGTCTAATCAACTCATATTGTTTCATTCTTGTAACATATGCTATGTTATTTTTAGACATTTTGCTTTGATATTTCTATTGCTTCTTAATGTTGCATTTTTTATGGCCAACAATGTATTTAAATGTAAATATAATGTTTAATCAAATGAAGGTGTGCAACAGGGATGGGCAACTGCAGCCTGCATTAATATTTTTTTGTGGCCTGCATCACATAAAATATGAATAAACAAGTCGAAAGGTTCGATACAGACATCAGGGCATACTAAATTACAAATAAAAATAATATACTGAATATTATACTGTAAAAATATAAAATAATTTATATTGTTAATTTAAATTAATTTAAATATTAGCTAGGGGTGCCCCCTAGTGGCTGATTTTACCATACTGTGACAGAAAATGCCCAGTTTTTCAGCTTTATGTAGTAGATATTTCAATTTCCCAGCTTAAAGAAATATGCAGCAAAAATTCAAATGTTATTTTCTACAACTTAATGTATGTGAATAGTTTTTCCCACAATGAATGTAGTAAAAACTAGCAGATAAGCCCAGAGTTGCTTGAGCAAAAAGTAACGATAGTGAAGATTAAGATTATTACATTACAGCCAATCTTACCCATTTTCACAGAATGCAAGAATTAGGTTCCCCTGTTTCCAGACTAATTAGAAAATTTTTAGATGGGTCTAAAATTATGTTTGATTTAACACAAAAAACCGCATCTGCGCCTGTAAATCTTGAAAGTTGCTTTCTCTTAACACTTTCATTGTTGAAGGCTTAATACTGTCTTTTCCCACAGGGGGGATTTCAAAAAATCCCTTGTTAATGTGTGTTCTTGTGACGTACCCTAACTGTACCAAATTTCAAGTTTCAACTCCTAACCGTGCTGAAATGCTCATAATGAAATGCCATCAAATACATGTGTGCCATCTATTGTAGGATAAATGTACTATGCCAGAAACCTTCGCGGGTATGTATTAAACAACTTCCCAAAGTTTCACAGCAATCAGATAAATGGTGTAGTAATGCATGAAGGACAGACCGGCATACATTCATTTTTATATATATAGATTAAAACAAGAAATCATCTAACAGATTCACATTGAAACTAATTTAAAACTAGCGGTGACTAATATTTAACCAAATATTTCCGATGAATTCTGTTTACATCAGATCCAGAAGCTAAATTAAGTATATACCCATGCTAATTTATAATTATACATGAATAAATAACTGTGATTTACTGGCTTTTTCTCTCTCTCTCTCTTTTGTGTGTGTGGCCCATGTCAGTTCAAAGGTTTTGAAATGTGGCCCTTACAAAGAAAAAGGTTGCTCATCTCTGATGTATGTTAAAAATTGCGTAAATAACACGCTTCATACTAAAATGTATTTGATTTGTATTAAAAAGTGACAAAGCCATGTAACCATTTTTATAATATTTTGAATTTAATTATTGATATAAATTCATCATCATCAAAAATATAAAAATTTATCAATATTATTTTTAATTGTCTACTTGGACTTAATTTATTAATAGGACATAATCTGGTGTTTAAAGATTGACACAGCAATGAGAGTTAGTTCAGGAAAGAACAAAATTTCTTTATTACATCACCTGTAGTAATAGTTTCTGTTACTACAGGTAACTATAAAAGCAGAAACTATTACTACAGGTGATATAATAAAGAAATTTTGTTCTTTCCTGAACTAACTCTCATTGCTGTGTCAATCTTTAAACACCAGATTATGTCCTATTAATAAATTAAGTCCAAGTAGACAATTAAAAATAATATTAGAATTAAAAAGGACAGTAAGGCTTTTACAATAAAAATTTATCACTTTAAAAAGTATTTACATGAACTACCCTACCTATGAATGTTCAACTTACAAACTTTCAGACTAATGAACAATTTGATTGTATGCCTAAAATTTAAATTCAATGCAGATTGTGAAGTTCTCTTGTTGCTTGTGGAGTGGCATTGAAGTCTGTCATTGCTATTCTTTCATTATTGTATAAACCTATTGATTTACTTTTTTAAAACATATGAACATGATTGAACTAATAATTTTAAGTTAGTTGTTCAGATGGAATTTTTGATTGTCTATAAAGTTTTATTTACCACTGTAGTAGTAATCCAAGGGATCATGACAGCCCAGTGGTATGTTAGTGACAACCTGCAGCCATACATATTGCCTCTCATGACAGGGCTCCCAACATTCATTTTCCAATAGGACAATGTTTGAACACACACAGCAAGGATGTCACAGGACTGTCTCTGTCACATTGCCACACTTCTTCAGCCTGTCCTGTTCTCTGATTTGTCATCAGTCGAACATGTCTGGTATGCCCTGGTATGCCAAGTTGGATAATCTAGGACAGGGATGGCAAACCTTTTTGTGTTCACATGCCATATTGTAAGCATACTTATCTTTAAAGATGTTTATGCATGCCAAAGTTTCAGACTTCGAATAATGATATTTAAAGAAATTAAACAAATACCTTTAATTAGAATAAATGTAAAAAATCTGATTGAAAAAAGGATGATCAAGTGATAAACCGAAAAGTTGATTGAAAAAGACAGAAATCGTATGATACATTACGTGCCAGATGATTTTTCCTTACGTGCCTTAGGTTCACCACCCCTGATCTAGGAGTTTGGCCAAACTAGAGGACCGCTTGCAGCAACTGTGAACAGAGATGACGTAGGACACAATATGGCACATATGTCTTTATGCTTGCCTGTATTGCATCATGTATTCACGCTAGAGGTGGTCCAACAGGATACTAGAACCTTCTTTCATTTGTAGTTTTTCCTGCAATAAAAGATCCTTTTGCTTTCATTTTGTAATCACTTACTTATATCACTGTTATACTCACACACGTACAGTTTTGTTAGATTCTGAAATTCCACCTTGGTGTAGTAATTTTTATGGCAATGAACATACATTTAAATAACTGATAATTAATACATAAATCCACAAAATTAAATGTGTAGATAATTTTTTAAGCTTTTTTTTAATCATTCGGAATAGCGAGGCTGTGTGCCATTTGTGGCATCATTTATACATGATAATGAGAATAATACAAGGGAATTTTAATGAATTAGGATATTTTAAATGAATAATTTAATTAATATAAATTGTTTAAGTATTAAATCATAAGATATTTGTAGTGCAGATTAAGCAAATAAGACAGGTAAGATTATTTTTCATAAAATTTATCTAAACTTCCTGTGGTAGTTTAAGAATATCACAACTTGAATCACAGTTTGATGGCATAGGTATATTTTTTTTAAACATTAGTTATTGAACTATAAAATGATTATG